AGGGCAAGCTTGGTGGAGTTGTTGATCAAACCACTGGTAGATTTAATCTTGACTCTGTTGGAGTAACTCTTCTTGAGATCTTGATGTGGGTAATCGGCGAGGTAGAGGTTCCCCTCCCCAACGGGGATCGCAGGGACACTACTTGAGGAGCGACTGTGACTTGCCAGTAGCAAGGCCAGCAGTGCAATAAATCAAATAATAATATAAAGCAATATATTTATGATTTAGCTATTATCGCAAATATAAGCAATATAAAATTATATGAAAAGGTAATATACATTATATACATTGTGACCCATTCAGGGGTCGCAACACCTCCCCAACACAACAAACGGTCGCACTAGGAGTTGCGTTAATGTCTTTCACATTATTACTGATTACTCATGTCACTTTAATAACACAATTTAATATTGAAATCCAGAGTCACTCTTGTGCCAAGCACTTTACATTTTACAGTGTCTATATCACTATAAATTATGCCCCTGGTACTAGGGCAGTACACAGTATCTCTGCATACTCTTGGTTGTGTACATCAGTGTAGAGACAGGATAGCGTAGACAAGCATGACACGTTGAGGCTCGATCATAGTAGTGGAGACTGCATATGAACAATAGTCTTGTGCGATAGACAGGAGACGGCATTCCACTCTTAAGTAGTGGTAGTAGAATGTGAGATAATATGGACATCTGCGTATGAGGAAGCTTAAGGTGTGTAGTGAGGGGGGGGTCTGCGGCAGGAGTGTTCCGCCAGTCAGTAACATCGCCCACATAACACTACACACTTAACACTCAGCTTCTGTCTCCAACTGTCTCCTCCTCACACACATATATCACCACTACTGTGAATATATAAATAGAATAATTAGACATGACATGAGTATACATAATTAACATGGGCTGGAGAGATTACGTTACTTGACTGAATTTGACATAGCAAGTAACAAAAGGTATTTGGGCATAAAATTACATTAATTTAAATGTAACTGATAATTAAGGACGTGACAGCGCGTCAGCAATTACATTACAATGACCACTGATATGTTGTATACTAATAGAGTAAGGCTGGATTCTGAGAGCCCACCTCATGATCCTAGCATTTTTACTCTTCATAGTGTTTATGTAGGTGAGTGGATTGTGGTCTGAAAAATTTTTAATTTTAAATGGGGAAGTGCCCAAATACATGTCAAAATGTTCCAAGGACACCACGAGAGCTAGAGCCTCTTTCTCAATAGTGAAGATTGAGACACTTATGCAACATATGGGAATCTTTATTCAGGAAACGTTTTGTCACACAGTGGCTTCATCAGTCCATACAAAGGATAAACTTGAAGAACAGGAGGAGAATGAGGTAATCAGTCCCTCAACCTTGAGTCGATGTGGTCAGTCCATCAATCTTGAATAGAATACGGCATATGAGCAGAGAAGCATCTTATAAACCGTATGGCAGGAGAGGTGCAGCAGTCGTAGTTAGTGTCACATTTGTCCAATGTGGAAGTAGGTCGTGCCCAAGGGTTAGTCAAGAGAAGAATTCCCAAGTATTAAGATCCCAAAAAGTTGCAGTGTCTGACAGGATTGTAGATGTGATGAATGGTTTGGAAAACCGACAAGTTGAAGATTGAGACACTTATGCAACATATGGGAATCTTATTCAGGAAACGTTTCACCACACAGTGGCTTCATCAGTCCATACAAAGGATAAACTTGAAGAACAGGAGGAGAATGAGGTAATCAGTCCCTCAACCATTGAGTTATGAGCTCGATTATGGAACGAATTAAACTTGTAAGTCAAGGTACCACTGTACTAGATAGCAAGTTTACACTAACATATATTAAGTTAGCAATAGAACTAGGCATTAAAAAACAATAAAAAAGTAAAATACACATATAGTACATTCATTACTTTAAAATATTTGTAGTCTTAATGTAGGGTGAGATGAGTAGTATTTATTGTAAGAAATCAGGTGTGGTATGTATAGTAGTCAGACAGGCTACCATACCAGGCCACCCAACCCACACGTATTCTATGACATTTAAAGCGTCCAAGAGCAATAAAATGCATATGCAGTTTACTCATTACTTACCTTAAAATATTTGTAGACTTAATGTAGGGTCAGAGGTGGATAAACGAGATAAAATGAATAAATGAGAGAGAGAGAGAGAGAGAATGAGTACATGAGAGAGGACAGGCATGAAGTTATGTAAACAAACCTGGTGGACACGAGTTTTGTAAACAAACCAGGCGAACATGTCCGGTTTGTGTACAAGTTGTCTCTGCATTGATACAGTAGAATAAATAAAGAGCAACACTCTCAATCTCATGTAACACCATTTTTAGAAGAAATGAAGCTCTGAGTGAAGGCATACAAAAGGAATAATTTTCTACAGTTACCCCCAGTAATATTATAACGTACACATTTTCTCTGATGTTGGACTAGAGAAAACGTTATTCTTGCCATCACTCGTTCAAGTTGTCTGGCTACCACATTGAGATGTGGTGTGTATTTATCATGTTTATATATTATGTATCGTGTTTATTGTATAATTTTGAAAAAATATCATAGATGGTTTAATGAAAATGTGGATACGTATTAATGTAATATAGAACATTTAATGAGACTCAGTGATTATTATTCAGTGTTGTTATTATCATTATTAACCCTTTCAGGGTCTGTGCCATAGATCTACGGCTTTACGTTGAGGGTCCAAACTGTAGATCTACGCCATGAGCTCAGCTCACTATGATAAGTTGTGAGTGATAAATTTGGGCCTAGATATGAGAGAATACATCTATGTGGTATGTGTGTACCACATAAAACAAATCCTGCAGCACACAGTGCATAATGAGAGGAAAAAAACTGAGACTGTAATTTTCAATTAAAACAGCGACTTTGCAGTGTTTTTTGTGTGTTTTTTATAGTTGTATTTGCGATTTCTTGGTCTCATTTCATAGAATGGAATATATATTACAGAAATAGAGATGATTTTGATTGGTTTTAGTACTGAAAATGGCTTGAAGCTGAGCTCAAAGTAGCGGAAATGTTAAATTTTTGCTGATGTTCAGGAGTAAACAAATGACCTCACACGTATAATACACACCAGCTGGTGGGTCTAATGTGTGTTCACAAATGTGGTGATATTATTTATACAATTATTACAATATTGCATAACAGTAAATCTTCTATTTTTTGGTTTGAATAAAAATTCATTATGTGAATAAAAAATCAAAATGGAATTCATTTGTAAAGCCTCAAAACATAACCAATGAACTGAGGAAATAACAAAAAAAGGCACAATACCGTGACTGGAACGATACACAAATAACCCGCACATAAAAGAGAGAAGCTTACAACGACATTTCGGTCCGATTTGGACCATTTACAAAGTCACACTAACCAGAAGTGGAGCAGGACGGCTGTATATAGGCAGGAAGAGGTGGTGGTAGTAGTAGTAGTAGTAGTAGTACAAGAATGGTATATAATACCGACAAGATGAAATTAAGACACATGCACAACACCCGAGCATCCCTATCGTAGACGTTTCGCCATCCAGCCAGCCACTGGATGGCGAAACGTCCACAATAAAGACACCCAGACGCTGCACATGTGTCTTAATTTCATCAGTAGTAGTAGTAATAGTAGTAGTAGAAGAGGTAGTAGTAGTGGTAGTGGTAGAAGTGGGGAATAAGGAGGACGAGCCAATCAAATACAAAGGAAGGGGAGCACTGCAAGAGAGCTAGGTGCCCACAGAGGGAGAGCAAGCGCACAGAGGTGCGTGAAAGGGAAAGTGGTGAAATAAATAAAGAAGGAACAGAAACATGAGACAGAAGAGAGAAAGACAACCCAGAGGAGAAAAAAGGAAAGAGGAAAGGGGAAGAGGGAGAAGAAGAAAAAGAAAAAGAAAAAATGAGGAGTCAGGTTAAGTCACGGGTGTTCTGAAGTTTGGAGCATATATATAGCCATCCTGCTCCACTTCTGGTTAGTGTGACTTTGTAAATGGTCCAAGTCGGACCGAAACATCGTCGTAAGCTTCTCTCTTTTATGTGCGGGTTATTTGTGTAACAGAGGAAATGTTAGTTCAATGCCAGGAATGCCTGCACTGTTTATTCTGGACCCTATTTTGAAATTGGAATATTTTGAACTTTGCATTAAATTGGCCAAATTTCCAATTTCTGACCAATTTATTTTGTAGTTGAAACAGTTGACGTGGCGATTTTTGGTGCTTAATTGATAGAACAGAAGTAATATTAGTGAAATAGCTAAGAATTTGGTCAACTGGAATAATGTAATTGGCCTAAAATGGGAGTCAGAGTCGGCAAAATCACCAATGCGTAAATATCGCTGATACATTAAAATTCATGAGAGCATAATTTCTTCAGTTTTTCATTGAATTTCATACTTTTTGTTTTATTACCTTCAGAAAAAGATTCCCTACCATTTCATAAGAAAAAATAACAAAATTATTTTTTGAAAATTCTTGGACCCTGGTGCACACTTTGAAATTTGGCCTCAGGACCCTGAAAGGGTTAATATGGCATCTCAAGACATAAGACACTCCTACTGATTTTAATGTGTACCTGCATGCCAGCACAGTGTGTAAGTCTATTTAGATACAGGTATACATAAATATAATTATCATAGTATATATAAAATATTAAATAACTTTTAAAAACACTTGGAATTTTGGAAAGTTTCCAGACATAATGGAGAGACGCAGTGCTCACGGAGAATGTAAACAAAGTGGGTGGGGCGCGGTGACTGTATTAGAAAGTCAGGTGGGGGGAGCCGTATAGCAAGTTTTGGTCATAATTTGAAATGTCCGTATTAGAGGAATGCCATAAAGCGGGGCCCTACTGTACTTGGTTAAATGTTTGATACAAATAAATGCGTGGATGGAACAACAACATGTCTGATTCTACTATTGTTATATTCAGTGATGAAAAAAATTATTATTCATCCAGAATTGAAAGCATTACTATTATCACAATAACGTGATGCTTTTCAGGTTGTGACGATATCATTCGGCAGCACAAAGCTGCCTGTCTACGTGTAACCTCCTTATTGGCATGTAAGGATTTACTTTGGGTGGGAACAAGTGCTGGAGTCATTATCACAGTGCCGCTACCCCATCTTGCTCATAATACTCACCGTGTTCAAGCGCCTTTAAACATGGTTGGCATACCATATGGGCACACAGGTCATGTTAGGTAAGTGGCACAGGTCATACACAAATGTGTACGTGTTCACAAATAAAGGTGTCCTAGTTTCATTTGATTTTTCTGTTGTCTGATTACCTACTTGCAATTACGAGAGCAGAGCTATGTGTACGTGTGCTGTAGTGTTGTAATTTTAAAGTTTCCAGTTATTATACCTTTAGCATATACACCTTCCTTTTGGCTCCCATTCCACCAGTCTTCTATGCTTTATTAAGAAATATTTTCTAGTGTCATTTCTGGTAGCCTTTTCTTGCTGTTGACAGTACTACAAAATCTTCCTTATCTATTTTTTCTGTTTTCTTTTTATGTGTGTCTCCTATTTAATGTAACAATGATGGTATTTGTGTGTTTCCAGTCTTTGTAACTTGTATTTCTTAACAGTAGGAGCTCTTTTGTATTGTCTCTGATTTTTTCTATTTTATCTACTTTATTTTGATTCCATGTGCCATACATTTTATGTCTGTCTAAAACATATAATAAATGGTTTCTCTAGCATTTTCCAATACATATAGCTGAAGACTGTCTTGAAGTTTGCCGGCACAGTGTAAAGTAAGTTCTTCACCACCTAGTTAGGTGATGATCTGGTGTTGATAACTAAGTACAGATCCCTTTATAGTGGAACCTCAGTACTCAGACAGCTCTCTACTCAAACAATTCAGTATTCAAACACTTTGTTCAGTTAAAAAAATCGCTCAGTAGTCAACCGTTTGCTTGGAACTCAACTAAACAAACACGACCTGTCAGAACTTCACTGTTTTTTTATATTATTTGTATAAATAAGTCACCATGGGATCTAATAAGATTAGTGATAACAGCCAACAAAAAAGAAAATTGGTTGGGAAAAATTCATTTGGTACTCGAACAGCCTTCTGGAACGAATTAAGATCAAGTACCGAGATCCCACTGTATCTGTTCTATATTTTAAGGCTTCAATCATATGGTATATATTCATGTAGCTTTTATATTTTAATCCTCATTTCTTTATGTTATACATTAAATTCCATCATCCATTTGTCATTCCATCTATTTTATTCACCTTATATACCTTCTGCATTTTTTGTACCTTATCAGCTGTCTCCAAAACTACAAATTTTCTGCATAATATTCACTCCACACATTGCCCTCAGGCACAACATGTCCATAGCCAGAAGAAGGCTGGAGGCAGTAAAGATGTCATGTCTGATGGTTAATGTGTGGTGTGAATATTATGCAGAGAGTTCGTATTTTGGAGATTAGTAGGAGTTGTGGGTTACTAAGTGTATTATTCAGTGAGGAGGGTTTGTTCAGGTGGTTTGGACATTAGAGAGGATGGAGCAAAATAGGATGACTTGGAGGGTGTATAAATCTGAAGTGGAGGGAAGGTGGGGTAGGGGTCATCCTAGGAAAGGTTGGAGGGAGGGGAAATAAAAGAGGTTTTGTATATGCAAGGGGCTTGGGCAGTCACAGGTGTGTGTGTGTGTGTGTGTGTAAGTGGAGGCAAGTGGCCTCCACTTACACACTGCTGGAGTGTGAGCAAAGTAACATTTATGAAGGGATTCAGGAAAATCAGTTAGCCAGACTTGAGTCCTGGATGTAGGAAGTACAGTGCCTGCACTCTGAAGGAGAGGTGGGGATATTGCAGTTTGGAGGGGGCATCCTAGCTGCAGTACCAGCATGACATTAATGGAGTGAGTGATGGCAAAAGTGTTTCTTCTTTTTTGGGTCACCTTACCTTTGGAGTCAGTGTGCTTAAAAAAAAAGGCCCATTCGATATTTGTTATTTTCTAAGTGATAAATAGAATAATGAACCATGTACATATTAGGGTATTCCTATATTATATACAATACATTGAAATTTTTTATTTCTGATTGCAGATTATTGTGAATTTGTTTATATCTGGTACTTCCACAGCACCCACAAGAAATATGAGAAATAATGCTATTTCCATGATATTTTCAGTTCATTTCCATATATTGTTCCATAACCCTGTGGACTATGTAATTTTTTAAATACTGTATATATATTTCAATGTTGATATTTTAACATGACACTCCTGTTTAATCTGCACAGGTTTTTGACAAGTGTAGAGTTAACCCCAGAGCCTCGAACATCTCGTCTAAAAGGTCATGGCAGATATTCCTTCAAAAGCAGAGACCATCTTCACCATCAGGTAACTGTAGATACAGGAAGTCAAGATGTAAAGATTACTGCTATATTCTTATATACTGTATTATTAACATCAGGCAATAATGCATGTTTGTGAAACCAAGTGCAGTCAGCCTTCCCTTAACAACTTAGATAAGGATCAGAAAAAAGATTCATTAGGCAAAAAAATATATTATGAGAATCTCACTTTTCAATAGAAGCCCATATTTAAATTTGAAAAGAGATTGGAATATATTCTCTAATTCCTTCTAATTTTTTTGATGACTAAATTTAAAAATGTGTACTTACTGGAGATGTTTGTTGTTTTGTGGAGGTATAGTATTACCCCCATTTTATGAGAGCACAATAAAAAATATATGGAAAAGTTACCAAAATATCGAGGATACTTGGAATACAGTACATCATCTTAAGGGGTTATGATGGCACTTAGGTCATCACAGTTCCTTAGACTGTGCATAATATGACATCACCATCTGTACAGTTCCTCTCTCTCACACATGGCATACCCACACACTCTTATAACCACAAACTTCTGCTGTGCACTCTAGCACTGTGTTTTTAAAGTTACTTTATACCACCTTCACCACCACTTCATTTTCTGTACTATCTCTCTTAATCCACCTTTCTCCTAATAATTGCTTATAACTTTCTCTGTCTCCTTCAGTTTGTTTACTTTCCCTCTTAACTATTTATGCTATTCTCCTTTGCTCTTTCTATAGCTACGACTAAATTATCCAATATATGTGTGTTGTGCAAAGGGCTTGGACATAGAGCAGGCATGTGTGAGTGTGTTAAATAGGAGTGGAGGCAAGTGGTTTTTTTATGATTTGACATTCTGTTGGAGTGTGAGCAAGGTAACATGAAGGGATTCAGGGAAACTGGTTAGCTGAACCTGAGTCCGGAGGTGGAAAGTACAGTGCCTTCACTCTGAAGGAGGGATGGGAATGTTACAGTTTTGAGGGGCATCTGTACTGTGACATCAGCATGCTTTTGGCAAGGCAGTGACTGAATGAAGATGTTGAATATTTCTTCTCTTCTGGAGTCACCCTTCCTTGGTGGGAGACTGCTGGCATGTTAAAAAAAATCCAGCACATTTCATAGTATCAAAAACTGTAGGTATACTTTCCAGAATTCATTATATTCCCTAATCTTCACTGCTAACACTCATTTACCTATACCTCATGTGTCATTTATATCTGGAGATCTACTTCAGCTATGTATCTCAAATCATCACTCAACAAAAGGCAATTGTCAGAACCATCACAAACTGAAATTATAGGGACGTGCTGCTTTTATTCCAATTTTTCAACCTACAAAATATTAATGACATACATACTTATACTGTTGTTCAGTCCATATCTTTAAAACACCATACTGTAATGCTGATTTTACTCAAAACGCTTCTTGGCAATCTGTAACAGATACATAGGCATCATTTTTTAAATGCAAATTCTTTTGATATTCCTTATGTTAGACTACCTAACAGATGAATTTAATTTTTTTAATGAATTCAAAGTGAAACTAAAAATGTTATGCATGTATAATTAGTCCAATTATTTTATTGTACATTTCCTTGAAAAAAAAAAAAATTAAAGCAGTTTCTGAAATTACCATCTAATTTTTATTTCTAGTATCAATTACACCATACTCCTTAACATTTTATTATGATTTTGTCTCTAACCTTCATCATAGCATTATTATCATAATTTGCTTTGTATTCCACTTGTATTGTAAATTTTCCTCCCCATCCACTTACTGAATTTCAACACAAATGCATAATCTTGAATTTGTATTTTTTATTAGTCTTTCAGTTATCTTTCAGTATTAAGCAGTCTTAGTCTGCCTAAAATGTGCACACTACAGGCTTTTCAAAAAGTAATATTTATGTACAAAGAATTTTAATTTTAATTAAAATATAAAACTAATTATAAATACAGGTACCATCCGACTTAAAACCGAGCTGGTTCCGACCAACCGGTCGTAAGTCGAAATGGACGTAAGTCGAACCTTACTACTGAATATCAACATCACATTTTTGTAATGACTTTATTTTATTGTTTTATTTTGGTATTTCATTTTTTACTTTACTTTTTATGCTGTTAGTACTGTATTTTATACTGTAAGGTTTAGGATAAACACTGTGTACAACACAAACAGTTGTTTATTTCCCAGAAATTTGGTATATAAAACACAGTCGTAAGTCTAATGGTCGTATGTCGAGCAGGTTGTAAGTCGAATGGTAGATGTATTGAAAAATAAATTACGTACATTTATGACTATGCAAAATCACAAACAAGGGATATGAGATGCAAAAAAAAAAAAACAGAAAAGGAGTTGAATAATAGCTCTAGGCATTTTGTGCTGCAAATCAGCACACTGTGAGGAGCTTGCAGTATTTCAGAAATGAGTAAAGAGTCCAGGTAGATTCGAGCTGTTCCTCTAAACGAATCTACCTGGACTTCGTACTCATTTCTGCAACATTGCAAGTCTCCTATTGATGCGTTGATTGTAACATGAAAGGCCTAGAACTATCATTCAATTCTTCCTGTGGTTTTTTGGATATAACTTTATATACAATTGAAGTAGTGGATGAGTAACGGGTGTTTCCCTTTTTTACAGCCAGGCACTGCAGCTCCAGCTAAGTTATTAGTAATTTCTGGTGGCGATGGTTATGAAGATTTCCGCAGCTCTGGAATGTCAGAATTGGCAGGTCGAGATGACTCTACAAACCACTTGCTTTTGTGGCAAGTCTGAGGCTCAGGAGAACGAAAATGTGATAATATATTAATGTAGCCCCCTCATAAGAGGATATACCTAAAAGACTTCTCCCTGAGGGCATTATCAGTTACATTTTGGAAGGTGTTAACTGGATGACCTGAGTGGGATGTTTTATCTAAAAACATTCTTAATGTCTTGGCCAAAAAAAACTAGCCATGTTTAAATAGGGAGAGAATATAGACTTACATAAGGGATGTACGATGAGGTTTTGGTTATGGAATTTCAGATGAGCATTATCATTAAATCTAAAGATGAGAATCTTTAAAGATGTGAAATGAGTGATGCATTTTTCTGAATGGCTTTGCCTACATCATTTACATCACTGATGAGATGCTAAATATGAGAGGAAAACGTTTAGTTAAATGCTAAGATCCCAGATCGCTAAGATTCTCAGGAAATTAACATTTGCTACAAGTCCTTGCTTTATCCCTGGAGGTTCAGCAGCCACTTGTGCTGCTCAGAAGCCTGTGTAGACAAAAGCATTCTCAGTGCCAAAGATCAGTTAGGTATGATTCTTTTGACTCACTGAGGCTAGACTTCAGAAGTGACTTAAGGTGTATTACGGGTGTAACGGTGTTTAGGAATGTGCCAGATACCCCGTGTATGCGATCTCTCAAAGATTTATAATTAGAAACAAATGTATTTTCTAACTTATCATGTTTCCTAATTGTACTATAATTAACAAGGTCTTGAATATACAGTACTATAACTGTTTCTGAACAGTCAAACATTTTAACAAGATACTCTGCAGAATGGTATGAATGTGCATATTGAAATTTTGCATTTATTCCTTGAAAATATTTAACTAAATATTTCTCTCAATCTTTATAAGTTTCTCTATTTATGACTATCTCAAAATTTAAATCAAACTGCCACTGCATATATTAATCTTAATTATGCCTGCCTTAGTAAATGACAGATCATGTGATAAAACACGAGTGCATTGTGATAAACTTGATTCTTCTTCCTGACAACGAAGTGTTTGCCTCGGGCAGAGATTTTTCCGAGTCACTGTTTTGTTAAACACGATAGTACAGCACAAAAAATTCTTGCAATAGTCATTTAAGGGAAAGAATGGAACTGATACTTTTTTTACATTGGCAGTTTTTTGTTAACTTTGTTCACAAAAATAAAAGTAAATATTATTGAAGGGGATCACTGACTTTTCAGTCTTCACTGCAAAGATGAAATATTGAAGACAAATCTTAAGTGATTTCAGAGATAAGAATAGATGTTATCCATTAACCAAACCATGAGCACAATCCAGTGTAAATGACTACCACTTGAGCACTTTTTTTTTTTTTCATGTCATGAACAATGCATACCAGTTCCTCACTTCAGTAAACTTATAAAAAGATATAAATATTCTGTGGCAACATAATGCTTAAAAAAATTACATACACAGTATATATATTTATTGCTTCTGATGCATGAGTGAAGGAAAATAAGACAAGAATTTGTTAATATAAATTAGAAAGCTACAGTACTTTCAATTATTTAGGAAAATAGATTTGGACTAGTCATATTCAAGATAGTAACATTTATGCTTTTAGTGACTTTATTACTGCAAGATGAGCAAGATAACCTGAAGATATGTTAATGCAAGATGAACAAGACACAACCCGGATGTTACGGTAAAGTACTATCATACAACCTACGAGGGCTCATTTTTGTCCTAAATGAAGACTAATTAAAGTGTAAATGTAACCATCTAGACACATCTTGGCAAGGAGGCATTTCATTAGTATTTATTTTAGCAAAGTAAACCACTACTGTTCTAGCTTGTCATTAATCATACTTGAATTTATTTGGCTGATGGTGACATGGGTAAAAACTGAGAAAAACTCTTAGTATAGGCCATAATTAATTTATATGTGAAGCTTAATGGTCATATTCCTAGTAGAGCACTGCACAGTATTTCAGTACCTGTTGTAAGTAACTTGATCATTAAAGAAATACATTACTGGATATTACTTATAATTTGTGGTAATTACATAAATAACTCTACTTGCACTGTGTCACCTGCATTTGTAAACTTTAGACTGACAGTGATTTTCCTGCGAGAAAGTCAGCATCAGGTTAGCGTTTTCTCATATTCCTTCCTTAGTACCTTAATTATTATAAAAACTCAATAGTAGTTGTCATCAGATAGTTTAAAACTGTTTCATCACTAACATACACCTAATTTTGCCTTATATTTTTTTAATCTGCTACATTTTATTTTTAAAACAATTTTACACATATTTATGTGCTTTGCCAACCTGCCAGGATGCAAATTAATGTTATAATGTATATACAGTACTGTATATTACTAAAGGAACTACTTGCCATATATAAAAATATGAGAAAAATGTGCAGGTCTGTGTTGATGCTGCAGATTTGTTATGCTGGAATTACTCGAAATTTTATTTTCTTAGGGATACTGTACAGTATATTGAATTAATGATAAAAATATAAGCATGTATTATTGTAATGTAGTTTATGAGATCACTGACTGTCACTTAAAAAGCTGCTTTGACACTGCCTCATTCTTCAGTAGTTTAGAGCAAGAAGTGATGCAATGTGAAGCAACAGAGACTAAGGTTTAACTTTCTTTGATCTCATTCCCTCACAGGTCGCATGCACGACATCCACCGCACCATTGTTTACATGGTCTTTTTCTTTTTATAGATTTTATCTCTCATAGAGATTTTTTACTTATACATATATAAATATATATATATATATATATTTAATCAAGGACACAGCATATTGCAACCTTGATTTTGCATTGAAAAAGTGCAAAATAATTTAAGTCCTGTTTTATTGTACTGTTATATTGTAGCATAATAGCTACTTTTGTATTATTTTTGGTAGTTATCTGCAGAATGTTTAGAAGTGTACACTTAACATGATCCTTGCAATCTGCCACATAGTAAAAGTTCATTTTGCATTTATCACACAAATAGGTAATCTCATATACATACAGAACTTTATCATCTAACCTTCCCAGATGATTTATTTTGTAACAAATGCTCATTTCACAAGAAAGCACCACATTTGCACAGGTAATTTCCATATTTATCCATATTTTACCTAAAAAATTTTTGCTTTTATATAATTCACTGAACACTGCTAAAAATGTTGAGTTACAAGTATTGTACTTGAGTAATGACCTACTTAGCGTTGGTAAGGTGGATGTGGAGCCTGTCACTGTGACCTGACCTTGGATAGTCCTTGGAAGACAACACTCACTTGCTGTAGGGTATTATTATACAGTCTTTAGCAATATGCGTATAATTTTCCTTACAGCAACTAAAGCTTTGTGTCATCTACCAATGGCCCAGTGAGTTAGCACACCAGTGTTGCCATTCATTGCTCTTCCCTCAGTCGGCAACAACACTCCTGTTGGGCTTATCCTACTGTGACCACGCCCCAGCACCCTCTGTTTATCTTCTGCTGTATTTATGAGTTCACAAAACTACTAAGATATTAATAAATTTTAGTAAATAAAAATTTGAGGTATTTGATTATTTTCTTGTTCCATGACAGACCCCTAATTTTGTAAGACTAAAAAGTTAATAACCTGATGAGAAAAAAAATTCTAGTAATGATACATTATTAAGTTATTTGGATACTAAACACATGCTAAATGATTTTAATGGTGATAATTTTAATAAGATAAAACTCAGCTCAAATATTCAGTTTCATATTTTTCTTAAAAGTGCTCTTACTGTATATCTCATGACCAGTGCACTGCTGTATTTTCTCATACTGCATACATTTGATTGAACTGGAGCTACTCTCCTCTCACCTCAAACCTGATTACCTTCCATTCCTCAGGTGCTGTATGTCTTTTACAGGTTTAGCCCTTCTCTTTGAATATAATAATACTACCAAGGGCAAAATCCCTTCTGTGGTTGGAGATAAGTGTGTCAAATGCTGTAGTTTTTTTTTTTTTTTAACAAGTCAGCCATCTCCCACCGAGGCAGGGCGACCCAAAAAGAAAGACAATCTCCAAAAAGAAAATACTTTCATCATTCAACACTTTCACCTCACTCACACATAATCACTGTTTTTGCAGAGGTGCTCAGAATACAACAGTTTAGAAGCATATACGTATAAAGATACACAACATATCCCTCCAAACTGCCAATATCCCAAACCCCTCCTTTAAAGTGCAGGCATTGTACTTCTCATTTCCAAGACTCAAGTCCAGATATATAAAAATAACCAGTTTTCCTGAATCCCTTCACTAAATATTACCCTGCTCACACTCCAACAGCTCGTCAGGTCCCAAATTCCATTCGTCTCCATTCACTCCTATCTAACACACGCACGCCTGCTGGAAGTCCAAGCCCCTCGCCCACAAAACCTCCTTTACCCCTTCCCTCCAACCTTTTCAAGGACAACCCCTACCCTTCCTTCCCCTACAGATTTATGCTCTTTTCATGTCATTCTACTTTTATCCATTCTCTCTAAATGACCAAACCACCTCAACAACCCCTTTTCAGCCCTCTGACTAATACTTTTATTAACTCCACACCTTCTCCTAATTTCCACACTCCGAATTTTCTGCATAATATTTACATCACACATTGCCCTTAGACAAGACATCTCCACTGCCTCCAACCATCTCCTTGCTGCAGCATTTGCAACCCAAGCTTCACACCCATGTAAGAGTGTTAGTACCACTATACTTTCATACATTCCCTTCTTTGCCTCCATAGATAACATTTTTGTCTCCACATATACCTCAATGCACCACTCACTTTTTTTCCATCATCAATTCTATGATTAACCTCATCCTTCATAAATCCATCCACTGACATGTCAACTCCCAAATAGTATCTGAAGACATTCACTTCTTCCATACTCCTCCTCTCCAATTTGATATCAAATTTTTCTTTATCTAAATTATTTGATACTCTCATCACCTTACTCTTTTATGTTCACTTTCAACTTTCTACCTTTACACACTCTCCCAAACTCGTCCACTAACCTTTGCAGTTTTTCTTTAGAATCTCCCATAAGCACAGTATCATCAGCAAAAAGTAACTGTGTCAATTCCCATTTTGTATTTGATTCCCCATAATTTAATCCCACCCCTCTCCTGAACACCCTAGCATTTACTTCTTTTATAACCCCATCTATAAATATACTAAACAACCATGGTGACATTACACATCCCTGTCTAAGACCTACTTTTACCGCAAAGTAGTCTCCCTTTCATCTACACACCCTAACCTGAGCCTCGCTATCCTCATAAAAACTCTTTACAGCATTTAGTGTATAAGTTACTACCTATTCTGTATACTTGTAACATCTGCCACATTGCTCCCCTCTCCACTCTATCATATGCCTTTTCTAAATCCATAAATGCAATGAAAACTTCCCTACCTTTATCTAAATACTGTTCACATATATGCTTCAATGTAAACACTTGATCTACACTTCCCCTACCCACTCTAAAACCCCCTTGCTCATCCGCAATCCTACATTCTATCTTACCTCTAATTCTTTCAATAATAACCCTACCGTACACTTTTCCTGGTATACTCAGTAAACTAATTCCTCTATAATTTTTACAATCTCTTTTGTCCCCCTCTCTGCCAGTCCCTAGGTACCTTCCCCTCTTTCATACATTTATTAAACAAAAATACCAACCACTCTAACACTGTATTTCCCCCTACTTTTAACATTTCTATCATGATCCCGTCAGTTCCAGCTGCTTTACCCCCTTTCATTCTACGTAAGGCCTCACACACCTCCCCCACGCTCACATCCTGTTCTTCACTCCTAAAAGATGGTATACTTCCCTGGCCAATGCATGAAATTACCGCCTCCCTTTCTTTGTTGACATTTAAAAGTTCCTCAAAATATTCCTGCCATCTACCTAATACCTCCATCTCCCCATCTACTAACTCCCCTACTCTGTTTTTAACTGACAAATCCATTCGCTCCCTAGGCTTTCTTAACTTGTTTAACTCACTCCAAGATTTTTTTTATTTTCATTTGATCTATACAGGGTAATTGATCTCATAAACTCCCAGACAAAACTGGGAAGTATAGCAACTCAACACAGCAATGGGGAGAGGAGAGAACTAGGGTCCAGACAGTATTTGTTTTCAGTGTAGGTTTCTTCAATGTTGTGGGAAATAACAGCTCATCACTGCATTGTGTCAGACTAACTGAGATGTCACAAACCAGGGTAGTTGTGGCCTGAGAAATTTAACTGAACTCTGAACCTGTTCATTTACTGTATATGACAACATACATAATCCCTGTTACCATTTTCCAGAAAGTTAAGCCTATCTCTGGAGCTGCAGCAGCTCCAGAAACAGTGTGCTGCTTTGGTGTGCTTATAGAGGTATAACTGGAGGTTCAGAGTGGCCCTTTCTTTGCATCAAGCCTGATTGTCTCCCATTTCCCAGGTACTCAAGGACAACCTTAGGACATTGTAAAAAGGCACCTGAGGATTGCTGAGTAGCTTTAACAGTTTACAACATATTAATTCACTTCCAACTATTAGAGTATCATCTTCTTCTTTCAACAAACTGGCCGTATCCCACCAAGGCAGGGTGGCCCAAAAGGAAAAACGAAAGTTTCTCCTTTTAAATTTAGTAATATATACAGGAGAAGGGGTTACTAGCTCCTTGCTCTTGGCATTTTAGTCGCCTCTTATGACACTCATGGCTTACGGAGGAAAAATTCTGTTCCACTTCCCCATGAAGATAAGAGGAAATAAACAAGAACTAGTAAGAAAATAAAAGAAAACCCAGAGGGGTGTGTATATATATGCTTGTACATGCATGTATGTGTATAGGTATATGTATATGTATATATATATGTATAGGTTGGTAGACAGCAACCACCCAGGGAGGTACTACCGTCCTGCCAAGTGAGTGTACAACGAAAGCCTGTAATTGTTTTACATGATGGTAGGATTGCTGGTGTCTTTTGTCTGTCTCATAAATATGCAAGATTACAGGCATGTCTTCCTACTTCTACTTACACTTAGGTCACACTACACATACATGTACACGTTTATTTATACACACTCATCTGAGTTTTCTTTGATTTTATCTTAATAGTTCTTGGTCTTATTACTTTTCCTTTTATATCCATGGGGAAGTGGAATAAGAATCTTTCCTCCGTAAGCCATGCGTGTTGTAAAAGTCAACTAAAATGCCGGGAACAATGGGCTAGTAACCCCTTTTCCTGTAAAGATTACTAAAAAGAATAAGAAGAAGAAAATTGTCAAAGTGGGAAGTTTGAATGTGCGTGGATGTTGTGCAAATGATAAGAAAGAGATGATTGTGGATGTTATGAATGAGAAGAAACTGGATGTCCTGGCTTTAAGTGAAACAAAGCTGAAGGGGGGTGGGAGAGTTTCAATGGAGAGGAATAAATGGGATTAGGTCAGGGGTTTCAAATAGAGTTAGAGCTAAAGAAGGAGTAGCAATAATGTTGAAGGATAAGCTATGGCAGGAAAAGAGGGACTACAAATGTATTAATTCAAGGATTATGTGGAGTAAAATAAAGATTGGATGTGAAAAGTGGGTTATAGTAAGCGTATATGCACCTGGAGAAGAGAGAAGTGTAGAGGAGAGAGAGAGATTTTGGGAAATGTTGAGTGAATGCGTGGGGAGTTTTGAATCAAGTGTGAGAGTAATGGTGGTTGGGGATTTCAATGCTAAAGTGGGCAAAAATGTTATAGAGGGAGTAGTAGGTAAATTTGGGGTGCCAGGGGTAAATGTAAATGGGGAGCCTTTAATTGAGCTATGTGTAGAAAGAAATTTGGTAATAGGTAATACACCGTACAGGTCTAGCTCCACAAGCAGATTTTTGCTACAGGCTCATACAGGTTTAGCACTTTCTGTAAATATAAAAGTAATATACGTCCATTTCTCATTATCTTGCATGAGTTGAGATACATCATTACTTGATGAGAACAAACTACATGGGGGTGGAAATCTTTAGCTCAATATCTTTCGCACTCTTGTACATCACCAGGAGCTATGCAATGTTGCAAGACAGCGTCAAGTACTACCTACCTGGAGGGTATTCTGGGGATCAACGCCCCCACGGCCCAGTTCACGACCAGGCCTCCCAGTAGATCAGGACTTGATCAACTAGGCCGATACTGCTGGCCACACGTAGTCCAACACATGAATCACAGCCCGGCTGATCCTGCACTGACTTTAGGTATCTGTCCAGCTCCCTCTTGAAAACAACCAGGGGTCTCTTGATAATTTCCCTTATGGATGGTGGGAGACTGTTGAACAGGCTAGGAGGGGAAATTCTCTGAAGCAAGACAGAGGTATCAGTGGCAACCCATATGTGTTACCTTAAAAATTAAAAAAGTTAAGTAATTCAACTGAAAATAAGTTACAATAAAAGGTTGTACAATAGGAATAATGTGAACTGAGTTATTTATTCGAACATTAAATATCCAACACCTCTCAGTAAAATACTTTTAGGTTCATTTAATTTAATGACTTTGATGCTACAAG